AAACGGTGATTCCGCAGGCTCAGACCGGAAACCCCCCCGCGCAGCCCTGTCCTCAGCGCCAACCGCCCACAAGAGGCTTGGCCGTGGCCCCGCCCCTTCAAGTCTGTGTTATCAGACACTGTGGGATCCGGTAGCTCCATGCTTTTGTTCTGTTCAAAGAATTGGACGAGACAATTGATAAATTTAAAAGTTTAACATTTATTTAAAGGTGAAAAGGAGCCGGGCATGGTGGTGCACTCTGGAGGCTAAGGCAGGAGAATCGACACAAATTTAAGGACAACCTGGGCTACATACTGAGCCCAAGGCCAGCTGAACTACATAGTGAGACCCTATCTCAAAAAACCTTAACAAAATGAAGAAGGAAGAGGAGGGGGAGGGGGAGGGGGAGAAAAAGTGAAGATACACCCTGCACTCAAGAACACCCTGCCACTGCAAGAACAAGAGGGCAGTGTCAAGGAAGTCAATGGCTGCCATCTTTCATTTCTTCTTTTGTTTTGTTTTGTGTTTTAATAAATTTTATTTTATCCCACCCCTCAAGTCCCTCCCTTCCCTATGTTTTTTGTTGGTTTGTTTGTTTTTGTTTTGTTTGAGACAGGGTCTTGCTATGTAGTCCAGGCTGGCCTTGAACTTATCATAACCCTCCTGCCTCAGCCTCCCGAGTGTTGGGATTACAGGTGTGCTCCACCATGCCTGGCTTGTATCTTCTTTTGGCATCAAATCCAAGCACCCCATTCAGGACTTTGAAGCTGCTCTGAGCCTGCTCTGTATGATAGGTAGGTCATGCCTGGTTGTCCAACCTCTTTTCCATGCCCTCATCTGCCTCACCTGGAGGACATTTAGCTCTTCTCCCTGGCCATCAAGGAGTCTGAGATGATTGACTTTTCCTGGACAAAGTTCTACAGATCATCCTGTGCAGAAGCTGACTCTTGTCACCACTGGGGACTACAATGGGCACATTGATCTGGATGTAAAGTGATCCAAGGAGGTAGCTACTGCCATCCAATAGGGCATCATCCTGGCCAAGCTCTCCATTGTCCCTCTCCAGAGAAGCTGGGGGAACAAGATCGGCAGGTCCCATACTGTCCCTTGCAAGGTGGCGGCCACTGTGTCTCTGTGTCATGCATCTGATCTCTGCTCCCAAAGGCACAGGCATGGTCTCAGCCCCTGTGCCCAAGAAGTTGCTGCTGATGGCTGGAATTGGTGACAGCTACACTTCTGCCAGGGGTTGCACTGCCATCCTGGGCAATTTTATGAAGGCCACCTAAAGGCCAGGGTTATAGTTCAGTGGTTCCGCTGCCTGCCTCACAAGTGCAAGGATCCCACAGTACCCCCCCCAAAAAAAGCCCAAAATTTAATGAAGGGAGGGAGGTAGGAAGAAAGGGAAGTAGGTCGATAGATAGGTCTGGGGATGCAGCTCGTTAGTAGAGTGGACCTGGACTCAATTCCAAGTATTACCAAAAAAATCCATAATCATATCTGCAAAGTACTTCTGTCTTTCCTCCACCCCAATATAACATTCACAGTTTCCAGGGATCAGAATGAGCGTATCTTTGGTGAATGTGTGTGGGGTATTAGTCAGCCTAACATGACAGTTAACATCTCTACTCTTGTTTTTGTTTTATTTTTTTGTTTGTTGGTTTTTGGAGACAGGGTCTCACTATGTAGTTGAGACTGACCTGGAACTCACTATGTAGCCCAGGCTGGTCTGGAACTCACAGTGATCCTCCTGCCTCAGCCTCGAGTGCTGGGATCATAGGGGTGCGCCACCACACCGAGCAAACATCTCTTTAGACTATTTTAGAACTCCGTCCCTAAACAACCACTATTTTCCCAAACCATCTCCACAACCATTTTCCCAATCCACGCTCAACCATCTCCCACCTGCATTCTCTGCTATCTTCTAGCAGCCCCATTTCTCCAAAGACCTTCCTGTGATCCTTCCAGCTCATTTGAACTATCCTGTGGTAGGCCCCAACTTCACTGCCTGCCACCCTCAATCACTATTTCTGTTGATCCCTAAATACCTTGGATTTTACCATCCAAGTGTCCTCTTTCCACCCTCCAAGGTTGCTCTTCTCTAGTCCTGAAGTTGTCTCTCAGTGAAATTCTAGTTTCATCTGATGGGCAGAGGGGAGGTGGGGTACTGAGAAAGTTGAAAGATGGGAGGGAAGGCATATCGTGCAAGGTTGCCTTGCAGAAGAACCTGTCACTGAGATATTTGAGAAATGTGGATGAAGCTGATGTTTGTAAGGCTGGTGTGTGTGATGCTAGTGATGGAACCCAAGGCCTTGTATACGCTAGACAAGTACCCTTACCTCTGAGCTACATGCTCAGCCCAGATTATAGTTTTTTGTTTTGGTTTTGGTTTGATTTGATTTAGTTTCAAGACAGGGTCTCAATATGCTGCCCAAGCTGGTCTCAAATTCCTGGACTCAAGAAATCTTCCTGCCTCATCTTCCTAAATAGTTGGGATTATTGGTGCACACCACCATGCAGGGGCTCAAACTATAGTTTTCTATTTTAGGGCAGAATGGAGAAGCTGTGGAACATGGGGACAGAGAGTGCTTGCATTCAAATTGCAGGTTTAATGAGGTGGGGTGACCATAAGCAAGTGACTTTGACTTGCTGTACCTTTTCCTGATCTGTAGGCTAACATAATTATAACCCTTACCAGAGGTCTATTGTGAGGATGAAAATGCGTTTGTGTGGATAAAATGCCAAGGACAAGTAAATGTTGGTTATTGTTACTTTTCTATCTTTTCCTTTGTGTATCTTGCTACATTTTTCTGCCCAAAGCATTAGACATATTCTTTTTTTTCTTTGTTTTTGTTTTTTGAGACAGGGTCTCTCTGTGTAGTTCAGGCTGGCCTTGAACTCACTATATTACCACCACACCCAGCAGATGTCCTTTTTTTT